GTTTTCCAAGGCTGCAGCTTGCCCGGGGGCTCCCGGCTCCCGTTAGCCAGGGAGAAGGCCCCCGGAGCGCGGTTCCAGCGGCGCTGGGTGCTGCCGAATTAGGAGGTAATTTCACAGAAACGCTTCTGGCGGCCGGATGGGCGCGGGGCATCGCCCTGCCCTTGGCGCACCGGCGGGACGGGCTGCCCAGCCCCACGGCCAGCCACTTCAGAGAAGGCTTGTGGGAGGAAAATGGTGTAGTGAGGGAACGGTCCCAGGCTGCTGAGGGGGTGGTGGAGGTGCAGATGCTCAGCTCCCGGGAACGGGAGGGGAAACCCTCTATATTTTGGGAAACCGTAAGTTCGATGGAGCTATTTTAGCATATTTGTATCCGTTTGGATGCTTGTAATTTTGTTGCGGGTTTCTATCACAAATATGTGCGTTGAGACGAAGAGATCAAATAGGTGTAGCAGTCTGTGTGTAGTCTGGGTGTCAGAGGAGGCAGAAGGTGTTTCCTGCATCGGGTGGGAGTACGATCTGCAGAAAACCCTGACGACTTCGGCAAGCTCCAGCTGGCCGGCCGTGTCATAAACATGGTGCTCAGAGCAGTCACTGTGATTGCTCTATTTAGAGATCTAATTGGGACAGGTGGGAGTCTGTGATTAAACTATAGTAAAATAAAATGTTATATAGCTGTTCAGCTAGATGCGCTCGTTGTCTTGCTTGCATGCTGGTAGATGCCTTCATCTGGACTGGCAAGCCTTGCTACTCCTTTTCGTTTGGGACACCCTTTTTGTCAGCAGAAGCCTCTTTCTGCTGGTAATTCACCTTAGTGGAAGAAGCTGTGTTGGCAAAGGGATTTTTTTCTGGTATAACTGTACCTACTGCTTGTCCTAACGAGGTTATGTTTGCCTCTGCTCACACTTGGTGGAGCAAAGTGCATCTTTAGACCGGTGCCTGCCTCCGACAGAAGAGGCCTGGAGAAGGGTGTAAGAACAGCAAGCATGCAGTACGTGTGCATCTCTGATGTACTCTCCTAGCGATATATGGCTTGAAGGCTCCTTCAGCTGGAGATAGTCTTTCTAGCTTCCTAGTAAACGTTCCTGCTATTAATTTGTTCAGTTACTCTTTAATCTTACAGATGCTTCTGGTATCCACAACTGCCTGGGGCCATTTGTTGTGGCAGAGAATAATTCACTCCAGTCCCTCAGATGTGGTACTGGGCTTTTCAAAGAAGTAGCTTGTTTACTTTGTTTCAGAAATTACTCAGTCTCTAAATTTCAAAATGTAACTTTGTACTGACAGTCTTTTTGTATCTTTCTCTAATAAATTGTATTCCTTAGGCAACTTGTTGCAGCGCTGGAATGTTCCCATAAAACTGCAGATGAGCAGACAAGTGGCTAGCTCTGGTGTGCCCCGGGGCAAAGGCGATAGTTCTGTTTTTGTCCTTATTGTGGGCTTATCAACATTAGGAGCGGGTGCCTATGTAAGTAGAAAGGTAGTTCATGGAAAGAAGCTGCAATACATCTCTCCTGTCAAGCATTTGCTGTATTTCAGCTAACTTTACTTAGCTTTTTACCTCTATAGCTATTTCTTCTTTCAGAAAACTTCAAGGGGAGCTGAGCTGGCTGGAAATTAACTTCTTATGACAATTTTTTTAAAAACCTGTAATTTCAGTTACCTTTTAGGTTTCTTTATAGTAAAGGCACTCTTTTTTTTACATACTATGACCAACCACAGCTCTGTCTGTTGTCTTGTGTGTGATAGTAACATGTAGTTCAGGGAGAGCTGGATGGCATATACTTTTAATGCCACAGTAAACCATTCTGTGCCAAATCTCAATTCAGAACATCAGTGTTTAGCTTGTGTAAGTACAGCAAATCAACCAAAAATTGTTGAGCATACATTTGTTCTACTCAAAAGATTCAGAAGAATAAAGCTTTTTAGCCTGACTTAGAGAGTAAATCACATTCACAGACAGCTGAAGAGTAGCAGCATTGCCTAGGAGAGGATGGGTTTGAAGTTTGCATTATACAAATCTTTGTTTCAGAATTCTTTCTCCTAGAGGATCATATTCATTAAAAGTTCTGAGTCCTGATTTTCTCCTGTTGAAGCTCTTCACATGCAGAAGGCTCCTAGGAAGTAAAAAAAATGCAAAACAGTGCTTAGAGGAAAGGTCTTTTTCTAGTCCCTCTAAATATTCTTTACTGTGTACTGCTGTACTTTTTTTGACTAACAAGGTAACTGAAATTACAAAGCACATTCTGTCTTTCCCAAGATCTGTTTAATCAAGAGTCCTTCTTAATATTCAGCTCTTTCCCTCTCTTCTCTTTCATTGCCTCTCTTCACCTGCAGTTTTGCAATGTCATCATCTAAGATGCCCTTCTAGATCACTGACGTCTTCAGGTGTTCCTGGCAAAGCTGGCAGCAACCTATTGTTATACTTAATTGTAGGAGGAACAGTCACTGGGACAGGAGCTTATGTAAGATGCCTAAATAAATGTGCTTTAATTGGGTGAGAGGGTGAAGGGAGGGTACCTTTCTGTATGTCATACCAAGTTAGCCATTTAGTTAAAACTAAACCTTCCTTGTGCTCACTGGCCTCAGATATTTAATTTCAAGGGACATTGTCAAATAATTTAAGTTTACAAATTTGGTATTTTCAAACAGTGCTGTTCTTAGTGGGAAAATTGCCTTAGAATTAGCTTTTCCACATTAACTAAATCTAAAACCAAAACTGGCAATCTTCGATTTGTAACCGTCAGAAAGGCACAAGTTAACTGATGTATCTATTCTGATACCAATACTGTTGGCATACAAAAAAAAAAGGAAATAATCAGCTAAATATAAATAGGCTAGAGGAAAGAAAAGGAAACTTGTCTAACTTTGTGATTTCTTCTGAGAAGAGCACTGGAATATCACTCCATTTTCTGGCAAAGTACACAGCTATGTTTCTGACTAGAAAAAACTTGGCATTGTCCCTTTAGAAAAATTTATCCTGAAGACCTGATTTGGTATTTTGCATGTATATAGTAGTATTTTTTTCTAAGGGATCAGATTTAATTTGCTTTATGCTGCCCTTTGGACTCACTTAAAAAACTTCATGGTTCTGCTTGCAAAAGCAGAAGAAGTTTTCTTAATCTTGACTTTTATATGTTTAAGCAAAAGGCTTTAAAAAAATCTTTATTTTAATTCATTTCAACACTGATGAGTTCTTGTTTTCTGATATTTTTTGACTTTGTTTCCGTTCCCTGGATATGCTTTTGTCTGCCTGTGCTCTTTTTCATGCCTGGCATTGAATTCCTCGGTTCTTGTTTGAGACTATATGCTATATTATAAAACACCTAATTGTAGTGATTGGTAAAATGCAAAATGTCTAGGGAGTAAAAGAGATTTCAATTCCCCAAAGGAATTAACTTTTGTTCAAACATAGTTTGGATGTCATAACACTCGGTTAGCTAACAGTAAGTGGTTTTGCATCAGCTGCAACATTACCTGTTGTGCCTTTACATTTAGGAGGCTTTTATTTCTTGCTGGAAACGTTCCAGTTTTAATATTCTTTCAGAATTCAAAATGCAGTAATTGGATAGAGGGTTGTGTTTCAGACTGTCTTGATAGGTTTTTTCTCTTCTATAAAAAATGCAAAATAAAAGTGCACATGTGATATGGATTACTAGCAAGGCTAGGATTTTGCCTTAAAAATTGTTTGCTTCCCTCTAATTTGTTAACTGGGTGGGGCAAATATCATGCTGTGACCTGCTTCCAGCAGTCTCATTGTCTTTTGCTTCTCTACATTACCAATTTTTCTTGGAAGTTAACATGATGTTTTAAAAGATGTTTCTTCCTTGTCTGTACCACTAAATTGTATCCCCAGAACATGCCAGCTGTGCTTATTCTGTATCCTGAGTTTACCAGACAAATAAACAGGTCAGCATTCAGACAGAATCTCTTCCAGCTGAAGGCTGTTACCTAGACCAGCCACGCTCCCGTGTCTGAAGAGCACTGCTAATGTCAGCAATGTTACCACCGCTAACATCATGCCTGTAACATCTGGCATAAAGCAAGCCAGTAAGGTGGTTTGCTTCTTCAGTCCAGCTGCTCTAGGCTTTTGAAGCTGGGAGTTGCTTTTTGCCTTGAATTTGTCTTCCTTTTCTGCAGCCTTGTGTTGTGCTGGGTGCCATGGCCTAGCTTGCAAATAGCCCTGGGGCTCGTTTGACTGGGTTTGCTTTGTTGTATCTGGTTCCTCTTGAAGCAAGTCTGCAGCCCAAAGGCCAAACATCTGCAGAAAGGTTGATTGTTTGCTTGTGGAAAGCAACCAGACAACTGAGATTCATCACATGATACGTAGAGCAGATCGTTTTCTGAGGGCATTCCTCTTGTAGCTACATATACATACCTTTATGGGCACTTTTTTCAGTGAGGTATATTTTGGCCCGTTTGCTTTAATTGAAAGCAGGTGGCTTTTCTGAGCAAGCAGGATAGACAAAAGCCTGTCGAGGGGGTAGAAGCAGAATGGTGCCTTGATGCTGTAACATATACAAGGTAAATATCTCCTTGTCTGTCTCCAGGTATACAGAACGTTGAGGGAAAACAAAGAGCGATTCACCAGCCGTGTCACAACAATAACTACGCGATCTCAAGAAAAGGAATCATCTCCTTCTGGTGGGTACTAGCTTGCTAGTTCTTAGGTTTGGGTCTGTTTTTCATAAGCTGCTGACTTGAGACCTCTAAAACAAATGGAACAGTGCCCTTCTGAAAACATAGATTAGCATAAGTAGTGCCTTCACAGCACTGTCACTTCTCGGTGCATTCTGTTGTTTGTGAATTCCCATGTCTTCCCAGCGCGGAAGGTGGTGCTAGCTTTCCATGACCCAGGGCAAGGCTCTGTTTTGCAGGTAATCGTGAGGATAAAGTAGGTTATCTCTCAGGGCTCCTTTCTGCTGTTTATGCCTTCTGTCATAAAAGGAGAAAAGAGCTAGCCCTGCTTTTGGCTTTTACCCTTACGCAGTCTGGCAAAGACACTGTGATTCCAAGGGATATTATGGTCGGCCAGCACAAAATTCTCTGTGCTGAGCCACTTCCCTGTCCCATGCGTAGCAGCCTGGGCATGCGAGAAGTACTGTGCTTGCGCCACATGTAGAAGGAGAAATCTGGACAATTAGTGAGGCTCTTGATGATGCTTTGCAGGCTGTATGTGCAGGTTGCTCCTTGAAGGTCTCTTAATTTATGAAATCTCAAACTGCAGTGTCTGAACTATTGAGCCAAAAGATGACGTGTTTCGTAATAACAGTGGCTTTAGGTCATAGAAGATAGGGTGTGTTATGTCACTTCACTAGGAAATCAACAGAAAGAACATCCTGCAGACAGGAGAGAAAACTGATTGCTTTGATTTGAGGGAGAGGATAAAACATGTTTATCAGGGTTGAGGCTGGAGGACAGAGAGAGAGAGCCTAAATGCTGGAGCAGAGGTCTTGGTAAGTCTGCATTTCTGGAGACTGTCCCTTAATAGTGGAGATCCTGTTAGTCCTGTAGTCTCACTGAGTCAGCCCCTGTGCAGTATCCTTGATAGCCTGTGCTTCACTGAATTAAGTCAGTGTCTTCTCCTTTCAGATACAGATGCTGCTTCTTGGGTCACAGCAGGTGAGTCTTGATGGTAATATTTAACTGACTGTTTTATTCCTACATACGGTTTAATTGCATGTTGCTTAGAAACAGGACCTGCATTGTGGGAGGAAATGCGTTCTGGTAGGAACTCAAAAGTTGGTCTCCTTTCAGAATACAATTACAGAAGAATACGCCCTGGCATTTTAGGAAACTTCAATTTCTTATAAACTGTTCACTGAACGGCCAGTGCAGAGTTTTGGTCTTGCTCACAAATTGATTTGTGTTCTTAAAGAAGATGTGCGGCTAGATCAAACACTTTGCAGTTTTTATTTTCCAATTTATTTTGAAAATTGTTTTCTGATCTGAATGACACCCAGACCATATCTCTTCTCCTGGTGTTTTGAATAATCTTTCGGCTATGTCCCTCCTGCTAGCTCAGCAAACTGTCATTTACTTTAAAACCTGAATGTTGGATCTCTAGTGCATTGTTTGGCCAGAGTAGAGGCCAAGCATGTTTTTCTGTCCTGAATCTACGGAACAGAGAATGTCCTGATCTTATATGAAGCTTCTGAAATTGTGTATTGAATGCTGGAAATGAACTCTGTGGGTCTTTGACTTTGCAACCACTTCAGCCAGCTGTGCAAACATAAGCAGCATTCTTAAATAGATCAATTTATAAAATGAAGCTCTTTGAGAGTCTGCTGGACAAGTAGCACCTTTTCAGAGCAAGGCTTGAAACCTGTTAACAGGCTGTCCAAACAGTGGTATTTCAAGCTTGTTATGTAGATCATTCTTACTCTTAACATGTTAAATCAGAGAAAAGTAGATATGTAATAGAGCAGCTAAAGCCATGTGATAAAAGCTGTGCTACTGGCCTATTCCAAAACTCTGCGATTGCCGTTGAGCTCAGCTGTGCAGATCTAGCTTAGAAAAAATAATTTGCTGAAATCTGACAGTTCAATTTGTGCAGGGAGCCAGCTTTGAGTGAAGCAGCAGCATGATTCTTCGGTAGTATATTGGGATAGAAGGGAAGGGGAGGAAAAGGTATTTGAAGGGCAGTTTGCCAAAGGAGGTCTGTATGTGAAAGGCATCTGGTGACATACTCTGTCCTTTGGGGCTGGGCCGTTTCCCTGCTGTATTTGCAGTAAGCTCTTCGATCTCACCTGCAGCTCCGGGAGCTCGCCCTGAGGTCCCATCTCATGTTCCTTTCCTGCTGATCGGTGGAGGAACTGCTGCTTTTGCTGCTGCCAGGTCCATTCGGGCTCGTGACCCTGGTGCCCGGGTAAGAGATGCCCTGCTCTAGAGCGGACTTGTGCGCATGACTGAATACTGCGCTTGCTTCAGAGCCTCTGTCGTAGTTTTGCCATTTGTCTGGCCTGGCAGCTGATGTGTTTAATGACCAATTAAAGGTGCTGATTGTGTCTGAAGATCCTGCCCTGCCCTATATGCGTCCACCTCTTTCCAAAGAGCTATGGTTTTCAGATGATCCAAATGTGACAGAGACTCTGCGATTCAAACAGTGGAATGGCAAGGAGAGGAGGTATGTGTCACTTACGGGTAGCAAGGATGGAGAAGAGTGTTTAATAATGAAAAGTTGACAATGTTCAAACTGTTCTTGGGAGAGAGCTGCTGCAGAGCTCTGAAGGACCCCAGGGAGCAGTGCAGACAAATCACTGGGTAGATTTCTGTGTTTGCTATGAAGAGAGCCCTGGTGGGGAGGATGTCTGTGTGTGTTGTCGCTAGGCTGATAGAAGAAGGGATGGAGCATTGCATGCTGTGCGCAGGGCCTGTGTGTTGTTTTGCACTGGAGCAGCTGACTGACTACCTTATGGAGTCCACGAGACCCCACAACGTAGGCTGTGTGGACTTATGGAGTGTGGCTTCCCAGAGGTGCCGAGATGTTACAAACAAATCAGTCGAGCACTAAGGAGCAGACTGAAAGGTGTGGCTGTGCTGGCAGCTGTCAAGAGGAGTGCTGCTTCACATATGAGAGTTCACTCAGCACCTAATACCTCTTGAATCTTGCTGTGATGCCCTTAGATATACACCACCACTGGCAGAAATCCTGTGAAATAAAGTGATAGTAAAGGTGAGTGTATAGCTTCACAGTTTAGAGCAGAGCTCCAGGGATCTGGATCACATTTGATTCTTGTGACTTTTGTGATAAAGCCTTACTGGTATAAACCCTTGAGTTTCAACAGTGTGAAGATTCTTAATTCTTAAAAATAGATAAATAAGAATTCTGGAGCTTGTTATGGATGCCTAGAGTTGCCTTTATACAAATGGTAATTGCTGAATAGCTGGTATCACAAAGAAAGTGGAACACATTTGATAATGGAGTTTTTTTCAGTATATATTTCCAGCCGCCGTCATTCTATGTGCCTGTTCGTGATCTGCCTTTTGTAGAAAATGGTGGAGTAGCAGTTCTCTGTGGCAAGAAGGTGGGTACAGCACTAGCTGTTGTTCTAGCATCATACAGGAGAGCCTGTGCTCTAAGCTGAAACTAAACAACCATAAATGGTGGTGTGGAGGGTTGGTTGAGGAGGAGAATGTATACAAGTTTGGGAAAAGTGTATATGATGAAGCAGGGACTGTGTTAATCTTAACAACAGCATGAGTGGAGTTTGAAAATGGGAGGAGCTATAAGGAATAGTAGTGAGCTGAGGGAAGATGAGGAAGAGGGAAGGGTAAGTGTTGAGTTTGGGCATGGGACAAGACTATGTAGAGCTTAGAAACAGGGTGTGAAAAAATGGGAACTAGACTATATATCAGAGGGTGAGATAAGGAGAGTAGAATGATTGGACTAGTGGGTTATAATGTGAGCAAGAGCATTGTGCAGAAGCAGCAGGAAGGCAGAAAAGTTTATGGTGAGTCTTCTAATAGATTTGCTTCCTCAGTTTTTTATATGTTGCTAAAATAAGATTTCAGTGACTCCTCTTACTGCTGAACTACACTAGGTGTCTGAGTCCATTTCTTAGACTCAGATCTGGGAAGATCAGCCTGATCTATGATGGCTGTCTCAATTCCTACTTCCAGTCTTCTCCCTTCCCCCTCCTACCCCTCCCCTAAACTTAAAGGTGGGAGAATGTTATTTCCAAGTTTGCTTCTCTAATCAATAATCTATGCAGTTTAACTTGAATGGCCTGCAGTGCGTGGAAGCTTGAGCCCTCCTGCTTGTTTAATTTGCAGGTTGTGCATATGGATGTTAGAGGCAACATAGTGAAACTCAGTGATGGTACCCAGATATCCTATGACAAATGCCTAATTGCCACCGGTAAGTCGATGGTTTTTTTCTCTTTGTTCTTTGTCTTGTGCCAGACTTTTTATTTCAGTGGCATTTATCTGACAAGGAAGTTTCTGCAGTATGTGTCAAACACTTGGTAAAACAGTAACATGAAGGACAGCCATACAGGCAACCATGCCATTGGGTGTTTCACCTGCCTTGCATCAGGCAGCTTCTCTGGAACATTCAAAGTTTTGCCCAGTGAAAATCAGCACGGAAGGAGGAAAAGGTGACTTCCCTAGCAGCTCAGTAAAGAAACTCCTGAACAGACCAGCCCCTTCAAATCCTTCCTGTAGCAGTAGCAAGCAGAACAACCAGCTCTTGCTTGGGCGGAGCACTGCTCCAGCATCTAACCCTAGCAGTTCTACAGCCCTCTGGTTAAAGTGGAACTGGCTGCCTCCAGTCAGTAAAGCAAGGTGTATAGCATTAGACCTTATCCCCTGGGTGACTGTTGGGTCACCTACTGCTCACACAGAAGGTCTTTCATGTTAAAAACCCAGGCAGCAACAGACAATAGAGCATGTTGTAACAGTTTGGAAAGCACAGTCCAGATTGAAGATAGCTTTGCATTGTCTGGATAGCCAGCGACATGGCCATGATATCATTAGTCTCTCTTTCTCTCTCCCTCCCCCTCTCTCTCTCTCCTTTTCTCTCCCCTTGTCCTCAGGTGGTTCCCCAAGGAACCTACCCGCCATTGAAAGAGCAGGAAAAGAGGTACAACAAAGGCTGACACTGTTCCGAAAGGTAATCTCCAGGTGCTGATAGTCCTGGGGTGAGGTTGAAAAAATCAGACCTACTACCACTATTTTCAGCTTTTTAATTCTTCTGCTTTGGGTCCAGGACAGCCTTGCCTTGGCTACTGCTTCCCTCAGCTTGTAACCAGGAGTCCATTTGCTATTTATTCCTTTTCCCCAGGCAGGTAAACAGGGTAGAGTCTACTAGACCACTCACCTGCTTGCCTTAGGCCTGAGAGGTGTAATAGTGTGTAATAATTTTTTTTCTTTTTGTAGTTTCCCTCCTGTATGACTTTGCTGCACCTTCCAGGCCTTTTAAAAACACAAGCAGCGTAAGCTCTGCAAGTCAGTTTGGGACTGTACTAGCTTAGTACTCCAGCCTGACACCCCTCTTGAATAAGCGTATACCACAGTCCTGCAGCACATGGGCAAGAGGTTGGCCTTTGGCCTGAGACTGGACAGAGACTGCTCTCATGCTCTGAAATTTTCACTGAGTGTGAAGTTGAGTGTTCATGTTAGCTCTTGGATTGGCTTACATCGTTTTCTGATGAACTAATAAAGTGATATCCATGCCTTCTTCATGGCATTTCTTCACCTTCATCCTGTGTCTTGGGACAAAGGGAACAAAAGACATGGCAGTTGGTCAATAAATGGTCTTCTGGTTTTCACTGTAGAGTTGCTTTTTGTTGACAAACTACACTTTTCTTGAAAACATGGGATTTAGACCAGGCATGCAGCCTTCTCCTTAGTCTAGTTCAGGGAATGAATCGGGAATAAGAAGCCATACAGGAACTTTCTGCTCTGTGCTGGACTTCCCCTAAGGTCTGGTCTGCTCAACTGTGGGAAGGGAAAGATGGAGGACGTGAGCTGTGGTATCCTTGTAGTACCGTATGTGTTGTAGTACATTAATGTCTAGAAATTTCATTGTAATTGCTCTTGAAAGTGAGGGGAAAATGCAGGAATCTGAGATGGCCTGGACAGGGAAAAGCTTGCACAAACATTAGGAAGTCAGAGACTTTTTTCTGTATAATAGACAGGAGGAAAGAGAAACATGTTTCCCTTTCAAAGTTGGGGAGAGAGTTGCTCTTATTTCAACAGGAGAAATTTGAGAAAAATATCTTCTGCAGCCATTCCTGTTTGAGGATATTTGAAATGCGAATAAATCTTCTTTCAGATTGAGGACTTCAAAAGTCTGGAAAAGATTTCAAGAGAAGTCAAGTCTGTCACAATTATTGGTGGTGGTTTTCTTGGCAGTGAGCTGGCTTGTGCTCTGGGAAGAAGAGGTAAGGGTGCTTCTGCAGGCAGCTTGTCTTCAGCTGGCACCTTGACAGAAGTGATAAACATTGCATGTAAGCAGCCCGACATTATAAACTTCTCTTTCATTCCTTGACTGCTGAGTTTTTGCACATACTTGTGGTTTGCCTGAAATAACCTTAGTGCACGTGTGTTTTGTTGGCTGTGTGGCCTGACCTGGTTTTCCATTTTATCTCTCATTAGCTGTCAAGCAGCCCCTGACCAAAAAGATTTTTTAAGTTGGGCTCTCTGGAAGCTGTGCAGGCCAGTGCATGTTGCAAAGTTATTCCACCCTGTAAAAAGTTATATTTGCTCTCTCAATGCTAAAAGCCACCCTAAAACTATTATTTCAAAGAGGCTCTGAACAACCGGATTCTTATTGACAAGTTCATGCAGCTTTTTGAGTAGTGTCTTTATGGTAATTTTTCTAATAAGGGAAGTTTTCTCCAAAATACTAAGCATTTTCCTTAGAAGTCAGCTGACTGTTATCCTAGAGTTTGCAGTTGTATGTGTAACAGTGGTCAGTCACTTTGTGGCTCCTGTGGAAAATCTGGGAGCCAGAACTCCCAGTTTTGGAAACTTCTGTCAAGATCCTGTGTTGAGTAAAGCATATGCCTGTGTCCTGAAGTCTGTGCTGCTGCTCTTTATCCACGGGTTGTAAGAAGCCTCCTCTTTGCTTTCCTTTCAGCACGAACCAGAGGCCTGGAGGTGATTCAGCTGTTTCCAGAGAATGGCAATATGGGCAAAGTCTTGCCTGAATATCTGAGCAACTGGACCACAGAGAGAGTCAGAAGAGGTGAATCTGCACTTCAGTGCTCCTCCTCTGCAAGTGGCAGAGCTGTGGTGTTTAGGCCAGTGGCTGTTGTGTAGCTCTTTCTTGTGAAAGCCAGCTGTCTGCTTGTTTTGTCAGTGGAGCCTCAGGAAGACTGGGTCCCTTGCAAGGTGGCCCAGGTGCAAAACAGAACAAGTTGTGGTTCAGGCATCTTGAGTAGCACAGAGCTGCCATGAATCTCTGGCTTCTTAGCAGTTCCTCTGGGAAAGCCAAGCATATGTGTGTCCTCATGCCAGATCTTCGCTGTGGCTGTTCCTGCACAGAGTAATTCCTACCATCATACTTGTGAGTTACTTTAACGGCCTCTGGAATCTGGAACCAAAGTTGTCTTATGATAACTGCCTGTTCTCCTCTTCTGAGTGGCTCTAGCCTTGAATAATTTTACTTCTTACAGCCTAATGCAGTCATCCTGGAGTTGCTTTGAGAGAAGGGTTATGAGGCCCCATGCCTTATGCACACACCTTTCTAAGGTCAGCTGCTGTCGTGTTTAGCTGACAAAGTCAGTAAGATCAGAGAACCTTTTTTCCATTTGCTGTATTAAGTGCAGAACATATTCCTGTGCATTGGTAAGTGGAGTGAGGATAGAGGGAGGAGGGATATAGTTGAGGCTAGAGATTGCAGAGCCTGATAACCCACAGGCCTGAGTTACTTTCTTCTTCTACCTCTGGGTCTGGCTGTGATGGAGCAATAGGTAATTGAATGTCCTTAGTGATGGAAAACTGTCTTGGGGAGTTCTTTTGGATATGACCGTGCCATCATATGAGAAATGTACTTTTGATTGTCATTTAAGTAGCTCATTCAAACTTTTTAGGTGGGTTTCTTTCTCCTCATGCTTCAGTCAAAACATCTACATGCAGCAAAGATAAGGTTGTCTCTCTCTTGGTTTCTGACCTGGCTCCTGCTCTGCCTGCATCTGTTTGCACCAAAGGTGCCTGCTTCAGCTGAAATCTGTCTACCCCTGAGCAAGTAGTTATGTTTCCTGTCTTTTTTTCCAGAGGGTGTTAACGTCATGCCTAACGCTGTGGTAAAGTCCGTCTCTCTCTGTGGCAATCGGCTGATGATTAAACTGAAAGATGGCCGAAAGGTAAATTTAAAAGAGAGGAGAGGGTGAAGTTTGAAAGGACATTGAGAAAATTAAGATAATAATTCTGAATTCCCAAACAGGTGGAGACAGATCACATTGTGGCTGCAGTAGGGCTGGAACCTAATGTGGAATTAGCAAAGTCAGCTGGGCTGGAGGTGGACTCTGACTTTGGAGGGTTCAGGGTGAATGCAGAGCTGCAGGCACGCTCCAATATCTGGGTGGTGAGTATGTGCAGAGGAGATTTCTGTCTGCTGGTTATCCTGATGCAATCAGAATACACAGAGTTAGGGCAGCTGGTATACCTCAACTAAGTGAATATATATTGGCAAAAAATAGCAAGTAATGAGACCAGTTGCAGTGCAGATCCTTCCAGCAGCCATGGAGGCTCTTCATGCACCACAGCATGCTTTGTTGCTGTGGTAAGGAGTCTGCGAGTTTGTGAATATTCATACTGCGTAAAAGGAGTTGGGGTAGCTTAAAGATAGCAAGGATTACTCTGTTGTGTAAAGTCCCTTTGGTGGGGGTCAAGACTGATTCCTCTGGAAAAACATATCTGACGCTGTCTTATTTTTCTGAAGATCAGTGAAACATACTGAGAAATTGTAACTTGCGTAGACTGGGGAGTGGGATAAGATGGTGGTGGTGTTTGGGATTTCTCAGAAAAACTCGATTCCACTTTGTTTTCCCAATGCCTTTTTTGTTTGTGCATTAATTTAAGCTTTCAATGTCAATGTTCAGTCCTCACTGAATGATTCTTTTGTAAGGCAGGGGATGCTGCCTGCTTCTATGATATCAAACTAGGTAGGCGACGTGTGGAGCACCATGATCACGCAGTTGTGAGTGGAAGACTAGCTGGAGAAAACATGACAGGAGCAGCGAAGCCCTACTGGCATCAGTCCATGTTCTGGTAACACTGTTTTCTTCTTTTGCTATTTCTTATTTGGCCATATTGCGGGAGCTATAAGATACACCTTGTAAAGGTTTCCGTTTCCTGAGTGTAGTGAAAACTACTTCAGCAAACACCTTGCACAACTTCTTGTTCCCAGAAGCTCAGGGAATGGGAGGGCATTTGAGCAATTGCTGCTCTGCCCTGACCTCCCTGAAATGTTTTTCCTTCCTGCAGATCCCAGTTTCTTCTTGAATGAGTCCCATTCAACAAAGCAGGTAGCGATAAAAAGCAGCCCCTTCCTCAAAGCAGGCTAATTTACAGGTTGAACTTAGCAGCAGCTTTTCTGTTATAGTTATCTAAAGTTCCTCAGCACAGTCTCTTGGCTTCGGTTGTGTTGCACCTTTGCTGATTAGCTGAACTGATGCTTTAATAGCAACACATCGCTGCATCCAGGAGCATACATGAAAGTTTGTTGTTTTCCAAAGAGAGGTATCGAGAAAATGGGTGGTTCTGCTGCGTCTTTTTGAAGTTATTTTTAAAACAAAACACAAAAAACCTAAGCAAACAAAAAATAACGCACATTAAAAAAAATCCCAAAGCCTGTTAGCTGAAGATCAGAAATTTAAAGTTAGCAGGGGTTTAAATATGGGGAAAGGACTTTTCTTGGAGAAATCCCCTGAAAAATAGTTATGACTTGCTGTTATTTTCCTGAACACTTGGTCTATACTGCATGGACTCTGCAACCAGAAGAGTTTCTCACTTCTAAACAAGGACACAAAAGCATCCATTTCAATTGTGTGTTTTTCTTCAGGATGCTGTGATCATGACACAGATGCAGGCAACTGGGGGACTGAGTTGCAGTCTTGTGTTTTGTTGACAGGTGCTAACTTGGGGGGTTTGGCAGCCCTCACTGAGCGAGGCTTCCTTCTCCTGTGCTAAAAAGCTGGCAAATAGCAAGAACACTTCCTGTGTTTTTTTCCAAGATGTTTAGGATCCCTCCTGAGCGCTGACGTACCCATAGCTGGGTGCCTAGTCTGGTTAGCTGGCATGTTACTGGTATTCCTTTCAGTAACCCCAGTCTGTGCTGGAGGATTCTGGCCAGATACACGTACAGAGATCCAAATTGTTTTCTGGGATGCATTTATTTCCTCAGCATACTTGGGAACACTTTTGACACTGTGCTTACTGGGACCCAAGCTACAGCTGCGTTGACTGCTATAAGTACCCCAGTTCAAATTCATCTGGTGACCAGTTCAAGGAGGTGTTACAGCAATGTATTCTTCTCTCTTATATTCCTTATATGCTCTCTCTGAAATATACACTAAATAATTGTCTGTGCTGCAAAGCCTGGTGCTTATAACCAGGAGGGGGCCTCCACGGTGGTGAGAGTGCTCGTGCTTGTAACTCAGCATTGCTACAAGTTTGGTGAAATGGTCTTATTACGACCTGAAGGAATGCTTGCTTCTGCCCCAGCTCGGTCTCCTGGTCACGTTTGTACTAAGCAGGCAACAGAAAAGATTTTTCAGGTACGTCTGAACTGTGTCTCGATACTCGAGTTTGAATGCGGAGGTCAGATGCGTGACTTATTTCTAAAGGGTCGAGATACATGCAGCTCGTGGAAGCCACCCAGCTTCCTTCAAGGGAGCAGGCCTTCAGTGTTTTAGGGTTTTGTTCATTGAACTGTTTTCTTCTGAAACTGATGGCCTTAGACTTGCTGTGGCTGGACTCCTTGTTCCACCCTAACGTATGCAGAAGAGACTAACGTGCATCAGTCAGCCTGCGTACCACCATCTCTCTCACACAGCAGTGTCGTTAAGGACTTGGGGCTGGAGGGAATTGCCTTGTATTTGTCTCACTAATGTTACAAATGATTTTGGTTTTTTCTTCCCCCCTCCCTGCCTCATTCCTA